AGAGCAACATGAATTCTGCTAAAATTAAAGCAAGAACAAACATCATATTCATGGTGAAGCTTGGATAGAAGAATAATGAAATCATTGATGCTTCACAAAAAGTTTGTGGGGATAATTTCTCAAAGAAATAAGCAGTCAAATGCCTAACTTGTGTTAAGAAGGGATGAGATGATGTTGAAGATAAAGCTCTCAGTGACAGACCATCCACATCAATTTGCAGGAAAAAAAAATTCATCTTGTTCATGCTCAAATTAAAGAGGACCCACCATTAAGAGCAGAAACAAAAATCAACACAATACATATCTCAGTTGGTTCAGTATACACAATTCTGACTAAAAAATTAAAGTTGAGCAAACTTTCCACTCGATGAATGCCAATACCATTGTGCCTGTGTCAGCTACAGACAAGATCAGAGCTTTCCATGGAAATTTTACAGAAGTGAATCAAGATCCCAAAGCATTTCTTTGAAGAATGGTGACAGAACATGAAATGTGACTTTACCAGTACAATACTGATGACAAGCCTCAATCAAAGCAATGGCTACCAAGAGATGGCAGTGGTCTAGTCAAAGCCAAAGCAGAACAGTGAGGAGCAAAGTCATGGCAATAGTTTGGGGAGATGCTCAAGGCACTGTCCTTGTTGACTTTCTGGGGAGACAAAGAATGACAACATTTGTTTATTATGATACTGTTTTGAGAATGTAAGCCAAATGTTTAGCAGAAAAATGCCTGGGAAAGCTTTGCCAGAGAGTGCTCCTGCTCAGCAAGACAATGCTCCTGCTCATTCCTCTGATCAAACAAGGGCGATTTTGCAAGAGTTTCAGTGGGAAATCATCAGGTATTTGCATTGCAGTCCTGATTTGGCTTTCACTGACTTCTTTTTGTTTTCTAATCTTAAAAAAATCTTTAAAGGGCAACCATTTTTCTGCAGTAAATAATGTAAAAAGACTGCCTTGACATGATTAAATTTCCAGAATCTTCAGTTCTTTAGGAAGGGACTAGATGGTTGGTATCATTGCATACATAATTGTCTTGACCTTGATGAATCTTATGTTCAGAGATAAAGTTTACCTTTGTCATCTTCTAATTTCATATTTTCACAAACTTTTTAAAGTTGGCTTATATATGCTGATATAGAAAAATACAAGATTTTTAGTGAGTTAACATTTCTTGAAAGAAACCATAGTTTTGCCACATACAAGTTCTAGGATGCTAGCCAAATTATATTACCTTTGCAAGCCAGTGTTTTCTTGTTGTTGTTGTTGTTTGCAATAAAATAAAATAGGATAATGTTTCCTATCACACAGTACGTGGTAAGGATTAAATGGGATAATGTGCCTGAATTATATAGCCCTAGTGCCCAATAACTGTAGACAATGAATTTTCTCATTCTTTTTCCTTTTCCTTTCAATTCACTAAACAGTAATTGGGTGCCCACTGATGCATGATGCATGATGAAACCATTCCAAAACTATAGATAAAGAGATTTTAATTATATGGCAACTTATTTAAGAAAATATTAATTTTCATATAAAAGTTAATGATGGTTATTACAATGTGCTAGGTACTTTATATGCATTATAGACTTATATTCTATCTTTCTAACAACAAACATGAGGAGGGCACTATTATTATCCCAATTATCAGTAACAAACCTAATACTTAGAAAATCTAAGTAACATCTAAGGCCCAAACTAGTAAGCACAAAGTCTGAACTGACTCCACTTCTGATGCTAATGCTCAACCTCCCAACTGCTACTAGACTATACTATATATTGAAGATGAGTTCATATGTATAAAGCAGGCTTGCAAAGAAAAAGAAATTAATAAAAATGTGAACAGTCTTTATCTCTGAATAGGTGTGAGAGAAAGGGGATATATGTAGCAAAGCTCTTTTCTTTCCTTTACACTTCTAAATTTTCACCTCTTTCCAGACCTCAAGTAAAATAAATTTTAGAAAGTTTATCCAATCTCTCTCTCAATTTCAATACTTTGGCATTTAAGGCTTTGTAAAATGATTTACAAATGAGAAACAGGCACAGGCTTGCATGATTGATATTGGCTTTAATGGAAGAGAGAGAATGAATTGGGCTGTGACAAATGGGTTAAGGTTGAATAGAGCACGAACATAGGAAATGACTCAGAGGTAGAAATAAAGAGGGCATTTTTGTGAACAGTAATAAAATTAGACATTCTAGAGCAGAGGTTTTGCTTTAAATACATTAAGCTGAAACATGTAAGAAGTCCAATGTACAACTTCAGACCACCAATGCCCTAGATCATTTGTTTATCAAATTACCTTGAAGAAAAGTAGATGCTGCTTAAGACTATTAGACTAGAGTAGAGTTTCCGGAGCAACTTCCAAAAGGAAGCCTGGTAGACACATGAAGTAAATGCTAAATCATTTGACTTATATGTGAGACATCTAATTGAATCAGAAATGTTGATAAAAATGATTTCCAGTAGGACAGTACTAGAACAAAAGGGGATTTTTGCTTTCCTCAACTGAATCAGACTCTTCCATTTGCTCATAGTTTTCTTTCACCTAAAATTGTCAGATGAGACAGTGGCAGTGTGTTTTCAAACACAGCCATTATGTATCTGATTACAAATGAAGCCTTGTGTTTTCAGATCTACTCTTTTGTATTGATCTTGCTCTTTGTGGGCACACACATACATGCACACATACATGCACTCTCTCAGGTTACTTTTTTTTAATGGATGAAAGTACAGAAAAAATAAAAACAAGAAAATAAACAAGAAAACAAGAAATAAAAACAAGAAAAATATGTATAAGCTGTTTCCATCCAATAAGTAAATGTTATTTGTTGTTAGTTTGTTTATATTTTGCCCTATATCTTTGCTTGTACTTGAGTCTTAATAAAATTCTGTTGTATATGTGTCATGTTGTATTTGAGAAAAGCAATATTCACTTTGTTAATGCTCTGAAACACAGTAGGGAATCTGTTATTTCTTTCATCTTTCAGAAAAATAATGTAATTAACACCTAAAAATAACTCATAGATATTAACATAGATATAGATATAAATATTTTAAAGTAGAAAGTGGAAGATGAATTTTGATTCATGCTTTTTAAGTATGCATGCAGTAATCACATACAAACTTTTTAAATCACAAGAACGGCTCTGAATCTTTTCTTCGCTACCTATAGACTTCAACAAAGCAGTTTCTTTTCTCTAATTTAAAAGAACACTGAAAGTCAAAAGTGGTAACATCTGCGATCTGGTTTATAACATTCATTTTTAAACAGAGTTGAAATTTGGTTTATCAAAAACATTTTGAAAATTCTCAATTAAAATATTCACACTAAGAATATAGGGCACACTTAATCATATTTCCACTTTCTATTTTTGCTTATACAATATACTTTTCTCACTGAGTGCAAGAATCCAGGCACAATAAGTTGATGCACTGTGATTCCATTTATAAAATTCTAAAAAACACGGAGTAATCTATAATGACAGATGAGTGGTTGGCTGGGCCCAGGGCAAAGGGAATGATGGACTAAAAAGGGACACAAGGAAACTTTGGGGAGTGATAGAAGAGTTCCATATCTTGAATGTGATATGGTTTTCAAGTGTTTATGTCTGTTACATTTATCAAATTATACACTTTAAATGGGTGAAGTTTATTGTACATAAATTACACTTTAATAAATTGATTAAAGAATAAGATACACTTTTCACCAAAATTAATCAACTCTTTAAAAGATATCATCAACAAAAAGACATACAGAAAATGTCAAAATTTGAGGTGAATAAAGAAAAACTTATTTTCTTGTGATAAACAGTGATGATTGAAAAACCTGGTGTTAATTAAACTGCTACTTTTAGAAATAAGTGAACTAGATTACTCTATTTATAAGAATAAACCCTTTAAAAAATATTTCTGCAATTTATTCACTGGTACCTAAATTTAAAATGTATAACTAACTCTTAAATAATTCAGGTATAAAGCAAGTGGGTATGCGTGTGTGTGTGTGTGTGTGTGTGTGTGTGTGTCCATCTGCATTGAGTATTATCTGCACATATATATGGAAAGAGAGGGGAAAAAAGAGAAGAGAGAGAGAGAGAAAGAGAGAGAGAGAGAGAGAGAGAATGGGACTAACAGAGATGGAGAGAGAGTCAGAAAGCAAATATAGCAAAAATAAGTAAGCTTGATATACTTAAATGGAGCTCAATATTCCTAAAATCTTATATGTGGGTTCTCATTGTACTACTTTTAAATTTTTTTCTAGTTTTAAAATTGTCTAAGTAAACAGTAAAGGTAAAACTTAATCAGAGACTTATTAAATTTACCTTAATGAGTCTGCTGACTGAAATTGTAATAACTCACAGAAAGGTAATACTGTGGTGTGAGTACGTATTTTATAAAGCATTAAAATAGAAGTATGACATTATTAAAAGCATTGAAAATGAGGAAAAAGTATTGTGAAACAAAGAATATAGACTTTACAGAGTGCCAAAAAATTCCATCTAATGTCATAAGTTTTCATGTCAGGAAATCTGATTACTGAATTATATTTTAGATGTATAATATTAAATAATTAGTGGCTATGAGCACAGGCTCTGCAGTCCATTCTTTCTTGATCCCTTGCTATGTAACTTCCTTTAAATTTGGTGTCCTTATATATAAAATGTAGAGAATGAAAGTACTTATCTCAGAGTTTATGTAAAGATTAAATGAGATAATGAACTTAAAGTGTTTAGGACAGTACTTAGTACAAAATAAACACCCAAGGGTAATTAGTATTATTTTAGAAAGAATGGAAGGTGCTATAGTTTGGATGTTTGTCTTCTCCAAATTGCATGTTGAAATTTGATCCCCGGTGTTGGGGATGAGGCCTAATGGGAAGTGTTTGGGTCAGGGGGTCAGATCCCTCATGAATAAATTAATGCTCTCCCTGGAGGGGGATGAGTGAGTTCTCACTTTTCATTTCCATGAGAGCTGGCTGTTAAAAAGATCCTGGCACCTTTCCAGCTCTCTCTTGCTTCTTCTCTTGTCGTGTGATCTCTGCACAGCCAGTTCCTCTTCATCTTTCACCATGAGTGGAAGCAGCCTGAGGGCCTCACCAGAAACCGAACCTTGAACCTTCCAGCCAGAAGAACTGTGAGCTAAATAAACCTCTATTTTTTTGTAAATTACCCAGCCTCAAGTATGCCTTTACAGCAGTACTAAATAGGGATACAGTCATACAAGAGGTATATTTATATAATTGTGAGGGACTAAATTTATAATACAAAAAAAATTTGTATTTTCCATATTACTACCTGCCATTCCCCAATTGTAATAGAAGATTATTTTATTTTTAGGTTGTTCAAGAAGACTTTGAGTTTTCTAAAATACAAAAGATCTAATTTTATCAATTTAACCTTAACATCTATTTCTTTTCCTCCAAATTAGGACAAGTTTTCTGACTAAGAAGATTTGGAGGTGAAAATTATTTCATATATTTGGGTTTGAGATGCTACAAGGAAAATGCAAGGCAGTTAAAAGTTTCTTTGAAAATAAGGCTTTTTTGATAATTCAGACTATAGAAAAATTGCTTTCTTGTTTTCTTTAAATGAGCCATATTTGATAATTTGACATTTACCATTTGATTATTTAATGACTAGAAACGTGTTGTGTTCAGTACTTGCCAACCTGCTGCGTCTGACAAGTGAAATTCTGATATGAAAATGAGATTAATAATTTAACTGTAATTTAGACATAATAGCCTTTGAGTTTAGATCACAAGCCTAACACCAGGCACTTCCAATGAAAATATAATTTAGATTTCATGGAAGTAATAAAACACTTTAAAATGTCATAAAAGTACTTTATAAATTTTTTCCTAGCATCAAATTGTCAAAATACAACTATTACAAAAGTGATCTTATGATTTTAATGGGAAATTTAGAACCCAGTCTTATATATCTGTGTACCCAGATATATATTTCATATGTACCCAGGTAACTTTATAAGAAGCACACCATGCAGTGTGCTTCTTATAAAGAGTTGTGTCATCTGAGTTGATAATCCAAAACTCTGTATTTCATTGATGAAGGATTTGCTCTTTGTGGCATCTGAAGGAAGCAAAAATAATTCAAGATGATATTCAATACATTAACACAGTTATATGAAATTTACTTCTATTTTTAAATATATACTTTCATACTTGTCCTCAAAAATGTATCTGATGGAATATAATTGCTTATGAGTTTTCAATTTTTATAAAATTTTCATATCTAATATGGATCATCATAGCAATCCTTTCAGTAATAAAGAACAGGTCATTTTAAAGATTGGGGTTTCTAAGAAGTTCAGTAAATAATTGGGAGACAATTAGTTTTTCTAGAAAACAAATCTTTTCTCTGGAAAAATTCCAAATAATATATAAAGATAACTACCCCTTCCAGAAAGTGGAGCTTAGCTCCCAACACCTTCCTTTGAGTGTGGGCTGGACTTAAAACTGAGTTTTAAAAGGGAAAAATTGTAACTGTACAATGGAGAAAACTGCAAAACTTCCTTAACTAAATAATCAAGATTAACATCACCAGTACCGTCATGTGGATATCATGTACCCACTGATATGATGAAATAAAAAGGGCATTTCTATTCCAGATTATTCCAAAATAAAGCTTATTTTTTTTAAAAGTATACATATATTAATGCTAATGCTAGCTAGAATTTCCGAATTCTAGATGAAAGTGTTCTCTACAACCTCAAATCAATTATTTAATATCTAAGAACATTTTGTGCATATATACACAAAAGAATGCCTATAGTTACTCATTTTAATTTGTATTAAATCTGTTAAAATTATAATTTAAATTCTTTTCAAATCTTCAAAGAGAAATCCCATCTGATAAATGCACATATAAATCAAGTATTTTTTAAAAATAAAAGCATGTAGTTCCCCCTTGTTCTTTGATTGGTGCTCAAATGACTTATTCATTTGACAGATTAATTTCCCCTAACCATTTAGAACCACTTATAAACCTGATTAATTCAATTTCTTTAGACATTTTATATTTCAATTACAAATTTTAACATATCCAAATACCTCAAGCATTTCAAACACCTAACAAGAATGATTTACAAATCTAATCAATAACAAGCTCTTAAGCACTGAGCCACTACTTATAAACCTAAAAAGGCTGAATTTTTAGAGTATTAAAGCACTACTTTAAATAATCACATATTATCTACAAACAACTTCTCTTTAAGAGTTATCAATTTAAAGTACAAGTATAAAATGTACATTTCTTAATCATTCCATCTTACAATCAACATTCTAATATTAAATAAATCTTGAAAATTTTGAATTAAAAATCATAAGGTTAATGTCAAATACATTTCTTAAACATTTAAATTAAAATGACAAACTCAACATGGCAAATTCTCTAATGTCAAATTATCAACATTTACAAATTTACAAAATACACACATTATCATGCAGATTATACAACCTATTTCTAAACTTAACATAAATGTATTACTATATATGCCTGACTTTCATATTCTCTCTATACTGATATATAAGCATTTCTATTGTGCAAAAGATTTGGGGAGTCATTTGCTGACTCCAGGGAGCAGATGCTATCTCAGGCCATATTCAGTGTGCTGATAAGTAAAAACACCAACAAATCGTAATCTGGGTTCCTCTTTTGAGACAGTTTACCTGAAATCTTTCTTATAATAACAGAAGCCTCCAAATGCTCTCCTTTTCTTGCAAAAGCCTTACATTAATTTTCATTGCCTAAAAAGAATTGAGATTCAATATCTGTATGCACACTGCAAATATTAATAATCTACTTATCACCTGGTTGGTTTCTAAATGCTCTTTATGTTTTACTTTCTTGTCTGTCAAGCTATCATCATTTCATTTCATTTTACTTATACTTTATTGTTTCTCAATATGTTTTACCCATTTAGCTCTTTTTCATGAAGCAATGACCATAAAATTAGCTATGTCAGTTTCTAATTAGTAATTATGCCTTGTATCTCAAATTCTTTGTTCCGTTCACTAAGACATAATTATTTCAGGGAATTTTTCAACTTAGTTATCAAATCCGTATTCTACTTGACTACTGTACAATACCAGAAGGTGGAAGAAACATAGACAATTTGAGTCAAGCTCACGTCCCTGTTGACTGCCAACTCAACACATATTTTTCACTCTCCCACACAATGTCTTCTCTTTGTCTCTGGATCTAGTGGAACCCGAAAAGAGGAAGAATCCCATTAACTCATAAGTGTTTTAACCCTATTTTTGGTATCAGCATCCTTGTTCCTTTTCAGAATCTATCAATCAATAGCTCTGTGACTTTAGTTCTGAATGAGGATGAATCATATCACAGATAAAATTTTATTTAACTTAGATAATAAGCCAAAGATTTATAATTAGGTGGGTATTATTATGATATAGTAAAGGCATTGATAAAAAGTATTGAAAACTATAAGATGGAATATACTGCAAAATAGTTTAATAGGTTATTGGCACTTAAATGGATATAAAAAGTATAAGGGATATATAAATATATAACAGCAAAGACTCTGAAGCCAGACTATCTGGATGTCAATCTCACCTCTACATTTGCCACTTGGGCTACCGTTACCAAAATCTTAATCTCCTTATACCTTAGTTTTGTAAAATGGGAATGAAATAATCCCCACCACATGAGGATGAAGTAAGCTAGTATACGTAAAGTCCTGAGAAAAGCCACTAGACATACAAAGGACTACACAAATGTTGGTCATTATGAACCACCTCTAAGAGTTTCTGAGAGGCTAGAATAGAGTAATGTATATAGAACCACTAGGATGGCAAATAATTGAGTCTTGGTGAATGGCACCATTACTACTATCACTATGGTAGGGCTAAAATAATGAATTAGTTGTTAATCCTAAAGGATTAATTGGAGTTAAATAGTTTGTAAAATTCAAAAACTGTTTTAAAAAGTATCTACTCATAGGCAGTAGTGGTTAAAAGGGCACAGACTTGAAGTTCACAGATGGAGGTTTGCTTTTCACAAGTTAAGTAACACTGACTAAACTATTTTATTTCTCTATTAATAGCATGAAGTTAAATGCCTATCTCAAGGGATTCTTGTGAAAATTAGATGAAATAATATACATGAAATATCAGGAAGAGAGTAAGTACTTCATCAATATTATTTCCTATCCTTCCCCTTCAAAATAATTTGTTTAACTATTTGGACGGATTTCCCCATGATACAAAGTACATATCTGGACTTTATCAAATTAATTGCAAGTTCAGTTTATAGGAGAAAAGAAACTGAGTCCAAACTGAATGATTTCTGCTCCTCATAGTTTTCAATTATCATGTTTAAATTGGTCATTATTTGCCAAATTAAGTGGGTAAATATATCATTCTTTTTTTTTTTTCTTCTTCTTTACAGAGAAGGCACCCAATTAGAAAATATATCATTCTTATAGATAAAAACCTTTTTATTTAGTGGGCATTCATCATTTCTAAAAATCCCTTAAAAGGCAATTAAGACTTTGGTGAATTTTTGGCATCTTTCTAACAGTGCATAAAAATTTGGTACAGGTAAGATATGGGTTAATAGCACTAGTACCAAAAAGACATGTCGGGAGAAATGCTGGCAGGTGGTGTGAGGAATGATTTGTAGTAGTAATGAATTGAAGCCCTTCCAAAAGACATATTTATAAGAAGAGCACTTTTAAGATGTCACCCATATTGCTAAATTATAAGTGCTTCAAAAAAATAAAATGGGAATGAGCAACAGTTGTGAACCATTGATTCTCTCCCTTCGGGTCAGTGACGTTGCTAGGAACTGCAGATGACCTTCTTGTCTCTGACTGCTGCTGTCTTCAAGTGCTGCTCAGCTGGGACCCTATTGACTATTACCAGTCCATCTATTTCACACCAAAGACATTTTCTAAAAGGAGGTTTACCTGTCCACTGCATATACTAATACTCACAGCAGCAGCCTGGGCATCCTCCTGAAAAGTGGAACCTAACCAGGCTTTAGGGAAGGAGCTTGTACTCCATCTACCATTTGTCTGAGTGCCTAATGTGTGCCAGGTACTGTGCTAGACATTTCTACCCACAGCATTATATTATGCTGCCCAAATAGAACATTCTTGCATCTTTATTCAAAATTAATTAGCTGAAAGAACACCGACTGATTTAAATTTAAAAGTAGGTGTACCTATCTCACACTGGCAATGATTTCTTGAATATCACACCAAAAGTTCAGGCTACAAAAGCAAAAATAGATTAAGAGGGACAACATCAAACTAAAAAACTTCTGCACAGCAAATGAAACAATCAACAAAATGAAAATTCAACCTACAGATTGGGAAAAAATATTTGCAAATGATATATCTGATAAGGGGTGAATATCCAAAATTTATGAAGAACACATATAACAACTCAATAGCAAGAAAACATATAAGCCAATTAAAAATGGACAAAGGACCAGAATAAACATTTCTCCAAGGATGACATAAAAATGGCCAACAGGTGTGTGAAAAGGTGTCCAACATAACTAATCATCAGAAAAATGCAAACCAAAACCACTATGAGATATCACCTCACACCTATTAGGATAGCTATTATAAAAAAAATAAAATAAAAGTATTGGAGAGGGTGTAGGGAAAAGGGAGGCTTTATACATTGTAGGTAAGAATATGAGTTAGGGCAGCCAGTATGGAAAACAGTATGCAGACTCCTGAAAAAATTAAAAGTAGAATTACCATATAACTCAGAAATCCCTCTTCTGGGCATATACTCAAAGGAAATGAAATAGCCACCTCATAAAGCTATCTGCATTCCCAGTTCATTGCAGCATTATTCATGATAGCCAAGATACAGAAACAATCTAGGGTTTTGACCATGAACAAGTGAATAAAGAAACTATGGTAAAATATAAAACATGATTCCATTTATATAAAATTCAAATACTGGCAAGCTAATCTAGGTAGATGGAAGTTAGTATAGATGTTACAGTTGTGGGGTTTGGGGGTGATAATGTCTGGGAAGAGACATAGGGATGCTCATTATCTTGATTGCTCATAGTACCCTACAGCATGATCTGAGAGATGGTTTATAATATGTTCCGTTTACAAAAATTCATAAAGCTGTACCCTGATGATTTCACTTTTCCATGTGTTTTCATTCTTCAATAGAAATATTTAAAATATTTGTTAAAAAAACAAAGAAAAAGAAATTAATGCCTCTTAAATTGTTGGCTTAGCATCTAATAATCTCTAATTAAAACCTGACGTTTTCCCTGACATCTCCATTATGTCTGATTTCAAAAACATACATATTTTCTTTTACCTCATGGGTATATAGGTTAACATAATTGGTTGTGACAAGAACTTTGTGTGGCCAGCACAAAAACATAATTGCAATAATAATAAATTCTAAAAACTTATCATGTGTTCTATGATAATATTAACTATCATTGAAACATAATTTTTGAAATGAATTTATTCTAAAGAATGTTATTATGGATTGTCCAAATTTTGTGCATGAGAGCAATGTAAAATCCATTCTAGAAGGACTCAAAAATATGATCTTTTCTATGTTAAAGACTTTTTTAAAAATTTAAAAATTTCAGAAAATTACAGAGGTACAAACGTTTTGGTTACATGAATTGCTTGTGTACAGTTTGAGTCAAAGTTATAAATGTGTTCATCACACAGATAGGGTGCATTGTACACATTAGGTGTGAATTTTCCCATCCATCCCCCAGCTACTTGATTTCCACTGAATTTTACTATTATATGTGCAATGAGTGTTGATCTGTAAGTTTCAATTTAGTAGTGAGTACATATAATTTTTGTTCTTCCATTCTTGTGGTACTTCACTTAAAAGGATGGTTTCCAGTTCCATCCAGGTTGTTACAAAAGATATTAGTTCACCATTTTTCTTAATGGCTAAGTAATACTCCATAGTATAAATATACCACATTTTATTGATCCACCCATGTATTGATGGGCACTTGGGTTGTTTCTACATCTTTGTGATTGTGAATTCTGCTGCTATAAACATTCAAGTACAAGTGTCCTTTTAATAAAATGTCTTTTGTCCTTGGCATACAAGCCAAGTGTCTGCTATCTCCAGGAAACACATCTAACCCACAAGGACTCACTCAAACTCAAAGTGAAGGGATGGAAAAAAATATTCCATACAAATGGAAACCAAAAGAAAGCTGGTATGCCTATTCCCATATCAGATAACATAGACTTCAAGTCAGCAAAAGTAAAAAAAGACAAAGATGGTGGTTATATAATGGTGAAGGGAACAATTCAATAAGAAGACATAACAAATATGTCTAAACATTCTAAATATTTATGCACCTAACACAGGTGTGCTCACATTCATAAAGCAAACCCTACTTGATCTAAACAAAATGATAAACAGCAGCATCATAATACTCAAGGACTTTAACACCCCACTGACAGAACAGGACAGATCCTCTAAGCAGAAAATAAGCAAAGAAATGATAGACATAAATGGAACCCTAGAACAAATGAGCCTAACAGACATTTACAGAACATTCTACCCAAAAACCACTGAATATATGTTCTTCTCATCAGATCATGGAACATTCTCTAAGATTAATCACATTCTAGGCCACAAAACAGGTCTCAACAAATTTTAAAAAATAGAAATTATACCATGTATCTTCCCAGATACCATGTATCTATTGGAAATAAGTTCCAATAGAAAGACTCAACTCTACAGAAAGTCATGGAAATTAAACAACCTACTGCTGAATAGGTATTGGATCAAGGAGGAAATTAAGATGGAAATCAAAAGATTCTTTGAACTAAATGCTAAAGGGAACACAAGTTACCAAAATCTGTGGGATTCAACAAAAACAGTCATAAGAGAAAAAAATCATAGCCACTAATTCCTGCATCCAAAAGACAGAATAATCACAAATGAACAATCTAAAGATTTTTTATTTAGCAAAAATGGCAACTATCATTCTACTTTTCCCTCTGAGAAATTGGCACAAAGATAGCATTTTTTAAAGCTTTGAAGTAAAATGCTTAAGGAACAAACTATGTGATGTACATGTGGGTGGTAAACTGCAAGGAAACACAATGATATATTTATTTAAGTCAAGACAATAATTGCTGTTAGAGGAAGAATGAGAGTGGTTGGAATCAGGATCAAAGAGAGGCTCTGGGATGGCTGACAAGGTCTTACTTCTTTTTTTATGAATTTTATTTCAAATATTAAAGGGTTCAAGTGTTCTTGTTACTTGGATGAATTACATAATACTGAAGTCAGGGCTTTTAGTGTACCTGTCACCAAAATAGTGTACATTATACCCAATAGGTAAGCTTTTATCCCTTACCCCCTTGGACCCTCTGCCTGCTTAGTGTCCAATGTCCTTTACACCATGTTATGACCATGTGCACCATCATTTAGCTCCCACTTATTAGTGAGAACATGTGGTATCTTTTTTTCCATTCCTGAGATATCTCACTTAGGATAATGTTACCTAGTTCTATGCAAGTTGCTGCAAAGACATTATTTTATTTTTATGGCTGAGTAATACATATATATGTGTATATATATACCACATTTTCTTTAGGTTGATTCCATATCTTTGCAATTGTGAATTGTGTTACCGTAAACATTCAGGTACAGTTGTCTTTTGATGTAAAGACATCATTTACTTTGTGTAGATACCTAGTAGTGGGGTTGTTAGATTGAATGGTAGGTCTACCTTTAGTTCTTTAAGGAATCTCCATACTATTTTCCATAGAAATTGTACTAATTTACAGTCCCACCAGTGGTGTATAAGTGTTTCTTTTTTACTTCATCCATGTCAACATCTATTTTTTAAAATTTTTTAATAATGGCCATTCTGATAGTGGTGAGGTGATACCTCATTGTGGTTTTAATTTACATTTCCCTGATCATTAGTGATGTTAAGCATTCTTCATGTGTGTTGGTCATTTATAGTAATATATCTTCTTTAAAAAAAACTTTCTTCATGTGTTTTGCCCACTTTTTAATGGGGTTGCTTTCCTCTTGCTGATTTGTTTGAGATTTTGTAGATTCTAGATATTAGCCCTTTGTCAGATGTATGGTTTGCGAATATTTTCTCCCATTCAGTAGGTTGTCTATTTATTTACT